GGGGGAGAGACAGTGAGAAGGGATGTGCTTGGCTAGATACACGAGGAGCAAGCTGAGCCCTGCTAGGACTGTCTGCACCTCAGTGGTTTTGACTCAGTCCCTTGGGCAGAGAACTGGCACGTGTGCCACTTTTTGGCATGCATGGCAGGATTGCCTAGCCTTGTGCTGGCTGCAGAAACCATCGTTTTATCATTATGCTATAAAACTATACAACAGTACACTCCTGTAAGTACAATCAATGGACCTAGTCAGGGGTCATTTCGTAGAAAAAGAGCTAGGGGGACTCATTAGCATAACTCATTAGCATATGCCACACCCCCTGACATCACCGGAAGTGTGTCCTCCCCACAGCCGGCGGCGACCTCCAGTGGGCACCAGCAGGGAGCTCCAGGCCCCGCCCTCCCGCACCTCACCCGGGGGGATGGCGTCCCCCCGCGTCCCCCCCAAATGACCCCTGGACCTAGTCATGAGTAGACCTAGGTGCGAGTAATTCTGCACAGGACAGCACTGAAAGCCACTTACTGAAAACAGTAAAGTTTTGGGGTGATGCCGCATCAGAGAGATATAAAGAGTTACACAGAGAACGCTAGACTCTATGGCCTATTCCTCAAATCCTAGCCATACAGACTGTGCTGCCTTTGTGGCCCTATTAAGGCAGAAAGTCACGGTAAAAGTCTGGTTAATAAAATGAAATAAATTTCCTTTTTCCGACGCATTTTCTTGCAATTACAGCTCTTCACAAAAGAACTGAGAAGACCTGATATACACAGGCATGACCTTTCTTGTCCATTTTCCCCCAGCTCAAGACGCATGCCAAGATTGCAAGCTGACAAAACAGAGGAACACCCATCAGTATTCAAGCCCAGAACACAGTATGTACCTATTCACCGTAGCAGTCGGGCTACAGCAGCCAGGGAGTACAGATTTTAAAACCTTGTGTAACAGAATAAAACAAACAATACTTACTGGCATTAACAATAGCTTCTCTAGTCAGTGATGAGCACAGCAGAAACTGGTAATAACGCTCAGTTAGTATTGCTGAACTTACAGAGTGGCACCAGGTTAAGGTCTGGATTTTGTTCTCGTTGAGCTCATTAAAAAATCAAATTACGGTACTATGGGACTAAGTACAGAAACCCGGTATGAAGCACTGGTACTAGAAGATTCTTCCGTTTTGCCCAAGCACTACTCAGTACCACTATGTTACTTCAGAAGCCACTTTCTGCATATTCAGAAGAGTGCCCCCCGGAACTGATTAAAAATACCAGTGTGGGGGACTTATTTTAAAGCTGCAGTATAAATGTAACCCAATGTCTTATTTGCAGGGTCCAGGTTCATATTTTAAAAATTGCATACAAGAAATTTTCATAACCTTCAAGTATCTCAGTTTATTAGTTTTAGACTGACTTTAAAAAGAAAGAAAGTAAACATCAATATTTGATTAGAACCAATGGACTTTCCATTTGAAGACAATCAAAAACTTGCTCTGGAACATTAGTTTCAGATTCTTATTTTGGAACATCTGCACCTCTCCCTAATATCTTCTTATCAAAGAAGGAAACTTTGATAACCAAACTCATAATTGACCCAACAACTGGTCTTTTCAACTGGATCGTTGCAAAGATAGATAAATCTGCACAATTATGATGAATAAGTCATGGCTACATGGGTGGACAGTAGCCCCTTCTCCCAGAACGCTTAATCCTTATCATTTAAAAAGCTGGTCAACTTTTCTTCTTAAAATTCTGCAGCTGAACAGGTACATGCTTTTAATTTATCATCTGCCAACTGCTGTATTTTAATTGCAGGTTATATGTGTTTTATTAGCATTGCTGCCCTTTATTTGTGCTACTGGATTTTTGAAAGCTGTCTCAAAAACCAGTTTAGTCATAGGTGGCAAAGAGCTTACTTAAATATATTTAAAAAGCTTAATAGCAAAAAGATTTTCTTCTTGCGCAGAGAAAAAGAATGTAAACATTAGTATGTTTACCAGAGATAGGCTACTCCACATCTTTTCTAGTATTTCTATTTACTTGAAGAGAAGGAACGATGTGGAACACAGCACAAAACCCATGCTAATCTATGAAATTATATATTGGTCCATCTTGCTCTGTACTGTCCACTTGGGAAGTAGTTCTCCAGCCTCTAAAGCAGAGAAAGGTCTCTCTCCAACAGTTACTACCCAAAACTTTTTGCATATGACGCTATACTAATGATTCTGACTAAAATTCCTGCAAAAGTACTCAATGAGAATGCATCTTTGTACATGAGAAGCTTTGTACATGAGTACAAGACTTTTCACCTGGCACTCTTAATTCACTTATCCAGACTGAAGGGCACTCAAAGTAGCTCACAGCATAATAACCCATGGAATACTTACGATCTCAGGATTTGGTTTAAGGCACAACATAAAGCAATCATGCTGATCTAAGCAAGTTTGGTTCTTGTTGGTACTTGGATGGAAGTCCTTTGTAAAGCCACCACATGTTTCTTGATGGAACAAAGGTGAGGTATAAATCTTATAAACACTTTCATTTCAGCTAGAAAAAAAATCAGCATCTAAACCAACCAATAACTTCTAATTCAGCTGGAAGATATACTTCTGATGAATACAGTCATGGTTCAGACAAGCTGGATCAGGAACCCAGATCACATTCACACCAAGCCAGACACACAGCTGCTGCACTTCACTTTGGTCTATAAATCATCCATCGAGTCACTTTAAACATTTGATGAGTTTTCAAATGTGAAGGTGGAAGAGATTTTAGCAAACCAGATCTGGGAATAAGGATACAGTAAATCTATTTTCAAAAACCTAAATCTAGCAGAAGGGGATGCCATGTGAGACTAGCTAAGGTGAGGTGGAACAAACAAGACCAGTATCTTTGAAATGACCTGTGCAAGTCTCTAGTAACTTGCATCTTAGATTTGCCAGAAAAAGTGGTGTTTTCCCATTACTGTAGCAGATGAGGCTGGCAAAGCATTAACAGGAGAACAAGTTCAAAAGGAGAACAACTTTCTGGGATGGGACCTGGATCTCTCAAGAGACAGAGCTATAAAGGTTGTGCCACAAAGCTTTTTTACATGGGTCAGTTAACGGTCATCAAGATATCTTAAATATTTCTGGGAATCAGAACAGTTGGAGAACTGCTTTCCTGAAGTATGAGTGTACCAAGAATATTGTTTATAAGGAACTGCCTGGAGCCATATTTTTCAAAGAGTTCGTCACACTTCAAGAGGGCTAGCTTTTCAGCTTCTTCCCTGTAGGCATGTGCTCTGCTAATGTTATGTAGTCTTTATTTATTTTTAGACACAAGTAGATTTTCCTTGGAAAGGGTTTTTCTCCATGTGTGAATTTATTGAATTGATATAGCATAATGGGTGTAAAGATAAGTAACGATTTAAATGTCTTTTGATCCTACCAAACCTATTTCCCAAATTCAGGAAGGTTGGTCTTTCAGCTAGTCCACTTGTTATTCCATTTGTTTGTTAACACCTTATATACAGTAGACACAAGTATTCAAAATGAAAGTCACAAGACCTGGGCCAGAGATTCTGAAAGGAGGGACAATCATGAAGTACTACATGTGGCTTACAGTAAAATAGCCATTCACCTGGAAAGAATACTGATTTAAACATGGTGACCTGGATCCTTAACACCCAAATCAGGGATTTGGAGAAAAAAGGCAAACGCAGTGCGGATAGTTTGACCAGTAGCACCTCAGAGACCAAAGTTTCAGGGGATAGGTCCTTTAGCAAAAGATTTGGGAACTAAATATCCACTACCATCTTGGTACCCCCCAGACACGCATTGAAAAGAGATGCAGCCCAGTAACCATACAAGTTTCATCCATTTAAAGGGTTGGGGGGGGGGGTCCTTGGAAGCCGTCTTTCCATATCTGAGGAAGAAATATTAGCAAGACGGCTCTTCTGGGCTGCAGGTGAGCGTTAGTTAACACTCTTGCCTGGGAGAGAGGAAAGGAGAAGAATGCTGGACAAAGCCTCAAGCACGAAAAGCCACAAGGAATATTGAGGGAGGCCAGGCCCCCGCAGGTACCCGACTACAAGCCTACCTCGAGCTTCCTGAGGAGCTCAAGACTTTGAAAGCGAAAAGGGCAGAACAAAAGAAATACCAACAGCAAAACTCTTCGTCCCTCCCTCAAAGAGAGAGAAGCCCGCCTTCTTTCTCCCTATCAAGCTCCCAAGCCCTTCTCCGCCCTTACGTCTCGCAACGCAATGCCCAAGCAAAATCAAACGCCGCTCTCAAGGCAAAACACAGTGAGACACAATGCACAAAGATCCCTTCCCTCAGCTGGAACAACTCCCTTTTTCTTTTCTTTTTTAATTGAAAGGGATTCAGTTTCCTCCCGCAGTCGAGGAGAAAGAACAGAGACGGGAGGGGGGAGAAGAGGCTGAAGTCAGGGAGAGCAACCAACTTTGCAGCCCAAAAGCTTTCTTGCACGACGCGTCGCCATGCTTCGAGGTTCGCCTCCCAGCTGCTTTCTTGAAGTCGAGCCTGAACCGAGGCCAAAAAAACTTTTCTCTGCCCCCGCTTTCCCTCGCTACCACTAGAGTGCGGTGGGCACAAAGGGGCCCGCGGCGAGAGCCTTTACAACTACAGTTACCGGACTCATTAGATCGTCTAAGCAAGGCAAGGTTAGTAACAAGTATCCAAACAACGGCAAAGGAAGAAGCGAGGAAAGTTTGCCCTCCGACACTTACCGATCAGACCTCCCACTAGAAAAGCGATGACTTGGAAAACCAGCAAGATCCCTCCAACAATGCAGAGCTTTTTCGTGCTCATGTTCTCGATTATTGCCCCAGCCATTTTCCCAAAGCTTTCCTTCCCCCTTTGCACTTCCAAAGCTGCAAAACTTAAAGCTACACGGGATGAGGAGGAGGCAGCACTGATTGCCCAGACAAGCACGGATCTGGCTCCCCCTCTGCTGGGAGCTGTGATTGTGGCCGGCGCTCGGCTGCATGTGGCTGCTTTACGGGAGCAGGAAAGCGAATCACATGATACCCACCTCCCTCCTCTCTCCCCTCCTCGAGCCATTCAGCAGCAATTGGTGTCAGTCTCAGGCAGCCGTTGGGGGGAAATCGGGAGAAGGTCGCTTGCTTTAATTAAGAAGCATCTCTGCAGTCGAGGAGGGACGGACGATCCCCCGAGTCACAAAGGTTGCCCAGGTTCCCAGGACCTTCGCCTCAAAGGTTCACCAGATCAGGGAAGGAAATTAAAGACGGTCAGGCAGATTTGATTAAGAAAGTTCTCATTAAAATTATGGTATTACGAAAAGCAGCCTTTTGCTCTCCAGTATCATCTCCAATGAGAATTATTTCCATTCTGTCTGATGCTGATGGAGACCGTATAACTGAGTGAGAAGCATGCTCAAACATAACACTAGAGAAAGGGCCCCCCCAAAAGCATCTGCTACACATCTGTTACCCTTCACCTGGTTTTGGCCACTGTGTGATACACTGTGTGATACACAGTGTTGGACTGGATGGGCTATGGGCCTGATGCAGCATGGCTTCTCTTATGTTCTTAACTCATCACAAGATCTTCTTTTATTTTAAAACCAAGATAAGGCTCTCTTTTTTTGCTATATTACTATACATAGATTAGCAGACCATCTTAGCAACAGCTGTCTACAAATTTAGGAGCTTTGACCCCCAATACTTTCACAAACATTTCAAATCACACTGTATCCAGAAATTATTAATCTGATCTACTCTAAATTATTAAATTGGCTTACATTCAAATTATCAGGTGCCTAAATCATTTAAGATATGCTGTAGTGACGTTTCCAAACTCTGAACAAACACAAAGATAAGGAGCTCAAATGCTGTGACATTTTCTGCCTAGTGTGAAAAGAAAAATATCCATTATCACAGCTGCATAAAAGAGTTTCGTAATACCCCATTTTACAGATATGGAAGGAAACCCAAGGCTAAACAACTAGCTCCATGATTTGTAATCCCGGTACCATACCATGTTTTGCTTCGGGATTTTTGGTTTCTTGTTTAACTTTGATTTACAATGTTTTGCAATGCAGAAACCTGAGAACCAGAAGACAAATCAGAAACTGTTTGCCATTTTTGGTAGAATTTCATGTCAGCTTTTTTTCATTCAGGATCACTACCCAGTGATGATTTTTCTGTCCCTCAGCTCTACTGAGGACAACATTCCATTTTCCACAGCAGTTTCTAAGGCTTCTGATTTTTTTTCTTTGTCATGCAGTGGCATTTTTTTTCAATTTATACTTTTATTGTTTTCAAAAAACAAGCAAGCAAGGCAGCAAGGTAGTGTATACACTAAGCAATAGTAGAAGATGAACCAGCTAACATGTAGTGTGCAATGCAACCGTCATATAAATACAAATACCTAATTAAAGTTTTAGTACATTGAATTAAAAGTATAATAAACTTTGATAATATTTGTTCTTTGGGAGGAAAACCCCCCCCCTCGGTTAAGTATTCAAGTACAGGAAACCAAACTGCACAAAAGAATTTTTGATGTTTTTCTATGCTAACGATGCTTCCCTGTTGGAAAAGTTCGCTGTGTGCAAAGTGTTCCCATAACTTGTTTTGGCACTGTTGTACAGTAGGGCCTAGAGTGTCTCTCCACTTTTGCGCAACACATATTCTGGCAATCACGATCAGAGTCGATACTAAGGTATGTTTTGCTTTGTTTTCAGGTATGCCGGACCAGGCGTCTAACAGGACCGTTTCTGGACAAAAAGGTAAGTCAATCCCTGTGATGATTTTAATGTGAATTAAAATGTCTCCAAAACTCATTTATCAGTGAGCAATGCCACCAGCAGTGAATATAGTCCGCTACTAACCCACAATGTTTCCAACATAGTTTCTGAAGTGTGGGGTTAATTCTATGTAGCCTAACTGGTGGTAAGTACCATCGGTTCAAGACCTTAAAGGAATTGAATTTGATAGCGAAAATTTTTGAAGTGATATTAGATTATCTTCTAATTGTTTCCCAGTCTTCTTCTTGTAATCGATTCTGGCAGTCCATTTGCCATAGGGTTTGGGATCTTAAAGTTTCCAGTGTAGAAGCTGAAATAGTATTTTGTACAATTTTGATATCAAACTCGTCATTTTTCCAGATTTGCTTCGTAGAAGCTGCTCAGACTCAGAAACAGGCTGAGTCGACTCTCTGGGTTCATAGAACTAGTGAAGAAGGTGAGAGAGCTGTAAGTATTGAAACCATGGAACCATTTCTCCTATCACTGCCTCCAGTTGAGGTTTCGTGTAGGGTTTCCCCTTACAAGTCAGGTCTGCTAGGCGTGTCATGCAGTGGCATTTGACCTGCATTTAGAATAGTCACTTATCAAGAGGAAGGATATCAAGACACCTCCCTCTGTAAAAAGAGGTCTTAGTAACAAGCTGTATCAATAGCAAACCATTTGCCCAATCAGTATCCTAGCTCTCTTCATAATGCATCCTAGCATCAATACATTACAAGGCCATTGGTTATTGCTCTAATGTTTGTATGGCATAAGAACATGAGAGAAGCCAATGTTGGATCCGGCCAATGGCCCATCTAGTCCAACACTCTGTCACACAGTGGCCAAAAATACCAGGTGCCATCAGGAGGTCCAGCAGTGGGGCCAGGACCCTAGAAGCCCTCCCACTGTTGCCCCCCCCAAGCACCAAGAATACAGTGCATCACCTGTCCCAGCCTGTGAGTTCCTATCTATACCTTGTGGCTAATAGCCATATGTTTATCCAGTTCCCTCTTGAAGCTGTCCATGCTTGTAGCCGCCACCATCTCCTGTGGCAGTGAATTCCATGTGTTAATCACTCTTTGGGTGAAGAAGACCTTCAACTTGTAAAGAATCACCAGGCGGATGGAGGCAAAAATTGAAGTATGGTTTCTGCTTTGAACTGATGTGAGTGATTACCTAAGGGGTCAAACTGTGACAATACAAACCCAGACAATACAGAACAGTTAATACAATGTTCAGTCGCCTAGCATAGCTGCATTAGTGAATCTGTATTTTTTGTAAATCCTGTGATAATGTTGAACTTCCAGATTGAAGTTAAGTTTAATCAGCTGTTTCTTTATGTTGATTCATGTTAGCCTAGCACTTAGTTTGAAAACTGGGCTACAAATTTAACATTTTTATTTACTTCTCCTGGCTTGTTTGGAGAATCTCAGTCTGCCTGAATGCCATCAAATAGAAAGAGCAGTCACTAATACCCAGTCAAAGTATTCACAATACTAGTTTGCTAGTAAGCTCATCCAGATTTTCATAATGAAGTTGGCAACTGACTCACAAAGAAAAGTCCACCCTCCGCCTGCCTGAAGCAAAAGAAGTAACCATCTCCAGCTACATTTCTGTTATTGGCTTTTGTTTTTAATTGATGTTTTATGACCATGTACACCACTCTGAGCCCGGCTTGCTGGGGAAATTGATGTTTTATGACCATGTACACCACTCTGAGCCCGGCTTGCTGGGGAAGGGCAGCTGAAAAACCCAATTAAATAAAGAAATATTACTTGCTAATGCAGTTATCCCAACCTGGCGCCTTCCAAAGTGTTTCCTGATGAGGGGTCATTTGGGGGGGGGACGCGGGGGGACGCCATCCCCCCGGGTGAGGTGCGGGAGGGCGGGGCCTGGAGCTCCCTGCTGGTGCCCGCTGGAGGTCGCCACCGGCAGTGGGGAGGACACACTTCCGGTGATGTCAGGGTGTGTGGCATATGCTAATGAGTTATGCTAATGAGTCCCCCTAGCTCTTTTTCTACGAAATGACCCCTGCTGATGACCATATCCTTCTTCCCCAAAGCTTTTCTCGACCTCCTTGGAGCAGGAAACATATCCCTTCAGAAACAGGTACCTCCCTTGCTTGCCTTGGAAACTTCCAACATTCCTGATTGGTCCTTGCTCCATGGCAGTCAGTACTGTGGTGGCACCCTCTACCTTATAAACATTCCAATAGTTCCCACAAGCTCAACAAGATTGTGGACCCTTGTACTAATGTTTGCTGACCAAGTTGCTGCTAAAGGCACAAGGGTCAGGCTTGTAAAAAAAAAAGGTGCCAATTCTGCCTCAAACTGATAAAAATTTGCAAATGCTGTTCCCCTTTTACAATGTACTGACTCCCAGTTATTCAAATAACTGGCTGGCTCTTTGCACCGGGAGTTGTTTAGGGGAATCATCTGCAGGGCCGGCCAGCTCACTAGGCAAGGTAGTCACTCACCTAGAGTGCAGGGCCATCATGGGGGCACCAGACTGAGCCACCCGAGGGCCCTGCTGCCGCTGCCAGCCCACCTGTGCCTGCCAGAGTCACCCCCACCGCCCCAGTGTGAGCGGCCATGCGCCCGGGGAGGAGGGAGGCTCTCTGCAGTCTGCCCCCCGCCCTGCCAAAAGCTTGGCTCCGAGGGCCCTGCCACCGCCCGCTGCAGAGGAGCACCCACCCTTTGGAGGGAGACACCCCCACCACCCTGCGCAGAGTTCCTCCAGAGTAGGGGCACCATGCAGGGCTGCCCAGCTGGAGCTCCTCCTCGTGAGGAGGGCGGGCGAGGCGCCTTTGTGCACAGGGGCTGCTGCGCCAAGAGGGTTAAGGCCACCGAGCCGCTGGCTGGAGAGGCCGGGTGCGGACCGCCCCCGGGAAGGGGGGTCAGAAGAGAGGAGGAGCTTTTTTCTCCCCCCGGGGGGATGTGCTTGGGGCGGGGGGCAGAGCAGGAGCTACGTGCGGCGGGGAGAAGCAGCCGCTGCCAGGCAGGGGGCCGCCTTCCTGGGAGGTGAGTCCCGGGGGGGGCGAGCCTGCCTCTCAGTCCCAGATTGGCCGACTGCACGCCTCGAGGTCCGGGCTGCCACCTCGCCGTTTGCTTTTGAGTCACCCCGCTGCCGCTAGCAGCGGCAGGAGGTGAGCCAGGCAGAGGCGCGAGGCAGCTGGAGATGCATCCAGGAGT